TAGTACGACTTGCGTAGCTGTCATATTCATTGCATGTCTGTGCAGTCCTGAGGGAAAATCTGCCTCCGGCTTTTTTCAAAAACCTTCTTCGCCCGTTCAAGTTTACTGCTCACAGCGCCGCCCTAATGCAGATTATCAACTTTCACTCGTTGAAACACGATGAAGCAGTAGGAGATTTGAATAAGCGCATCGGTGAAGGTCCTTCTCCCTTACTGCGTCAGAAGGCGGTCTCAGCTCTGATGGACGCGCAAATCCAGGCTTGGGCAGCACACGGATTGTCGTCCACCCTGCTCGAATCACATGTAGACTTCGCAACATTCAAGAGGGCATGGAGCAAAATCGACTTAAAGGGACTTCCTTTGCCAGATCTTACGGATTGGTGGTCGCGTCTTCATTATTTCGTGGTGCAGGGGCTAGAATCATACTTGACCCTAGAAAAGCATTTGGAGCCTTTAGAAGACACCGTGTACACACTGGCTAATGATTCACTCAACAAATTGAAAGCTGATGGTGGTCAAACTCTATTTTTTACCAGAGTAGCCTATAAAAAACGACAAGGCCCTTTGCGCCGACTTTGGGAAGGGGCAAAGAAGTCCCTCATGAGCCTGCTGTACCGCTCACCTAGCAGGCAGCATGGTGTTTGGTTTGGTGTGACAGTTGATTTTGATCAACTGCATGGTCTTCTTGATCAGCTGAAGGAAGTAATCGAAGCTGCACCAAGCCTAGGTATCAAAGTGAACATGCAAGAAGCACTATTGCGTGAAGTGGAGACGGAGCTTCGTGTCCAAGGTGCAGATGTTTCACGAGTACCTTTTCTGGAAGAAAGGAATATTGGAATGTTAGGTGTGCGCCGCGACTACGGCAGTTTGTCTGAGGCGGCTCGCGAAGAAGAATTCCAAGCTTCGATGTGCCTTGACCATTGTAGGGGCCTATGGCAGATGGCACTCAGCAGCATGCTGCCTACCATGCTGCGTCCAGAGACAATGCAGCGGTATGAAAAAGCTTTCGGCACAACCTGGGCACTCAAACACCTTTCAGATCCAGCCCTTGTAAATTCAAGACGAATGATCCTAAAGAGCGACGCAGCCCTGAGCTTTTTCGATTATTCAACTCCGAAAGAAATCCGTGAAGAACTCAAAGGACTGGAGAGCGGCCAAGCTACAATGTTCGCTTATTACATGCTATTTTCTTCTCGGGTCCAACAGCGTCTTGGTAACCAGTACTTAGGCTTGCATTTACGCCAGCAAGCTCCCTTCATGGGTAACATGCTGCTAGAGTGGATTTCAACTAGAAGGCGGCATGCAGTTGCTGCTATCATTTCTTCCTTTGTTCTTACTTTTATGGGCATTTACGCGGCCATGAGTTTCCTCGATATTCTACAGAACCTTACTGTTTCCGGAGCAGCGCCCCCATTTGACTGCGTTTGGAACCCTGTCTTCCAAGAAATGGCTTGTAATCCTGTTCCTGGCGGAGCAGCGCTCGGCACAGCGTGGGTAACAGCGCTTGAGCAGGTCTTTCTTATTGGACTGTTTTCGGGATCAGCTGGAGGAATGTCGCTCGTTTTAACGATTAACTCTGCAATCGCTGTCATTGTCAACCAGTCCAAGACGCTCATGCGTCTACAAATGTGCTTAGGATCAACTGTTATGGGGCTCCTGCGGAAAGGTACAAGCTCTTTTTCACGAGTCCGTCAGTACTTCGACAAACGCCGGGCTGTGAAGCGAGTTATGCTCCAGCGAGCGCTTGCTGGCATGAAGACTGGTTCAACTGCAACCCTTATGAGCAACTCAGAAGCCATAGAACTCGCAGACGGTGTCCTTGCCAAGCTCATTGGCACAAGCCGTGCCACTCTTGTGAAGGGAGCTAGACCAAAAGCGTCGCCAAAATAAAGAAAGGAGCCAATTAATTTTGTTATATTGGGGCAAAATACCCTTTTTTATGTTGCAAAAGGCCACCATAGGCCGCAAGCGTGTAGGCTTGCTTCTTAGGGTGCTCTCATTCAGTCTGAGTACCAGATTTTATTCCTTTTCGCGGTCAAAATCGTTAGTCGCGTGCTACAGTGTCGTGTCAAAAACAGACGAAGGCGGTTAGTCATAGCTGCAAACAGCTATTTCAGGCACGTGGTGGTTCAGCAATTTTGCAACCCGCCTTACGCAAATGGCCGACAAAATAATTTAGCTTCGCTGGCCGCATGGACGGTCGAGCTGAACCATCCCTTAAACTGATATATCGCTGGAACAACGAAGCATGAAATTGTGGCACGATGATAATCAGCAATTAACGACGCTCAGAATACCTGAATTACCACATTTCGAATCTTTAGCAGATACTGCAAGTAGTTATTATGGAGAGTCTAAATATTTTGTGAGCGGCAGGAATGCTACTGTTTGAGAAGCTGCGACTACTGATTCGCTCATGCGCAATAGTTGTTTTCATGCAGGAGTCATCTATAGCTGCACAGTGTGCACTCCAGATCCTATCCTCAATTTCACTAGTCTACCACGCCGCGGCCCGTCAAAAATATTCAACAAATTATGTGCAACTACACTGATTTGGTATGTCTGGAGTTTGAGTAAAGGCGTTTTATGGTTTGAATTGGGCTGCGTTTTTGATGGAGCGACCGAAGGACCTTCACGTGTCGCCAGGGGTGGTATGCAACGAAATGCCTAGAACCAGTTACTTTTTCCCACCCCTTCAAAAACATTCCCCGTGCTGCAGGTGTAGTAATTATGTGACTAACCGGGCGTCTGAGATGAAAAGAAACTGAAAATTTGAGTGCGGGAAGGAGCCTGCTGAAAATTACCTTGTCAACTACGCGGAGGCCGTGCTTCCAGCACTGCAAAAGATGGCAAGCCCGCATTCTACTGTCTGCTGCCACGGAAAAATTACAGCTCGAATCCTTCGTTCTTTGCGATATCAGAGACCATAGCTACAAAGGCAGCATCGTCAGCTACACCTTGGCTCAAGTCCTGAAGACACGGCAATTCGCTGAATGACAGTAATCCACTAGCTACAAGACCTGAGCGTTCAGGCTAAGAAAGAACTCGCTTTTAGTGGCAAAGCTACACTCTGCTGTATTTGCCACCTGCATGGGTCACGGGACACTTACGGCTAGTGCTTCTAGCAATTGTGAAAGAGCCACGTGGTTGGTATTGCCACCCTCGGAAAGGAAAGGGTGTAGAAAATCGGGGATACTGCTTAGTTTGATCTGTGGATGGGGGCGACAGATGCGTATTGTTGCAGCAGAGGACCCTGTTGCTGCGATATCCGTAGGAGAAGCGCAGATATGTTGAAAGGCTGCCAGAATGTTTCTTCGGCAAGGCTCCATAGGGGCCTGCAGCATGCACTCATATGGATGACTTTCGAATGGTAATTTCATCTAGCTTTTCCGCAGGAAACCCAGCGCGTTAGTTACTTGCTGGTGGCGTGTTCAATCCTTTTGCTAGCGGAAGGTTCCGGCTGAGTATTTCTGCGAAGTCCTTAGGGGAGTGCATCTTTCCTTTGCAAATACTTGAGGGACTACAGTTGCAGCAGGACAGAAAAAACATTCAATACGTGCTAGTAAAACTGGTGGACAAAACGCTCCGTAAGATAAGAAACACCACACAGAGTGTCGTTACTGTGTATGTTACCCATAGAAAATCTACAAGATCTGACGTGCGTATTGATTCCTTGTCGGCCAATGTTAGTATCTTCAAAGCGCTTCTCAAATGCTCAAGAGGCTGCAGGCATCGTCACTTCTAGCCAGTCAAAGTACATCAGCCAAAAGGTTGCGCAGACAGCAAAAGGTGACAACACCGCACGTGGATTATTGGGGGTCTGCATATTCTCACAATATCTGCTGACTGCTGAATACCAAAGCTTTCCCAGAGAAACTGCTCCACAGATTCAGCTGGGACGAGGCCTTGAGCGTCGCTCAGTTCCCTGGGCACCGATTCGCAGCAAACGGACGCCTCAGTTCATCGAGTACTGGATTTAGGTGGCCACAGTTACTGTCGAAACTGTAGATTCATTGCCTACTTGAGGACAGCTTTCAGAATAACAAATCCCAGATACCCTCTCGCTGCCAGTAAGGACTGGCGAAGCCTGTGCTTGAAAGCCTGAAGTGCTGGCTGCACAACCTGGGACAAGCATCCCCATAATTCAGACCAATACATCCCAACTCAGTTTTAGCACTGATACAGAGTTCCGTGGCATATTTTGCCCAAAATTGCTTCCTTATAAGGAGAGATGCATGGCTCTAGCATTTGTATGCATGTTTGTGCAAAACCAGGCAAAAATAGGCTTGCATTAAAGCTTGAATATGCCTGTTACCTCAGCTTGTGTTGTGCATAAGGCACTCTTGTTTTTCAAAGATCGCTCGAGAATTTCTAATGCTTCTTTGTCCTTACACAGACCCTAGAGCAGTATGGCCCATATCAGACCAATAAAGCGTTGCTTTCTCAGTATTTAGTGTGTTACAATCTCTGCATAACACAAAACCTGCTTTGTTTCAGTTGCTTCTCTTATGTTTGCAACGTACATGCAGGCAGCTCTGTACTGGGAGAGAAAAAAAGCTGTCTTTTGCAAATGCCATGCGTCCTGTTTGTGGAGTCTGCTGAACACTGGAACTGAAGGCACACACAAAAGTTACAAAAGCTACTTCAGTACGCACACCTGCCGAGAACATGCGAGTGCTGTCAGACTTCTGGAGTTCAAATGCTGGACACCTGTAGAAGAACGTTCTTATTCAAGCTGAAGGAGGCTGTGGCTGACTAACCTTGACACGCTGGCCAGTTCAGTCCAACGACTGACAAGTTCTCCGCCCTCAGGCGTTCCCGATCTCACTTGCTGTTGAAGTATCGCAACTAGAAATGCAGTTTCATATATGCAATGACCACTAGCGAGGGCAAACTTGCTTCTAAAGTTACATTTAGCTCATTTAGCTAACAAGGACCAGTCGTAACTTTAATGAATGCTTTTAGGTAGGTATGAGATTGCTCCAAGCCACCAGCAAAGGTCTAACTGGCGTCAGGCTGTAAATCCACCTGCTGAAAGTACTGCTCGGCCTTGTCTGCTGAAGTTAGGAGGTTGGAGCTTCGGTCATCAGGCACCTGCAATCATGTTATCGATAAAGCCTGGGAATCCGATGGAACTCGTCAAATACGTCTCATTACTCTATGAGGGTTCGGCCCACGGAGCTGCTCACTGCAAACTTGTAGCTTGCCAAAGATTCTGACTCTGGAGTACGTTGATCTCCTCCAATGCTAGCAGAAATATCCTAAAACAACAAAATAAAGAAGTACATGTGATTTGATTCCTGAATATGCAGCTGTTGCGGCTTGTGCGGTGCATTAAGTGCCTTAGTGTGCAGCTCGCGCAAAACAACCTTCTATACGCAAAAGAAGTCAAGGGGTGGTTGCTGCGAAGAAAAATGCAGGGATAATGGTACCGCTGAGTTTGCAGTACTGCTGGGGTCCGTTGCATAGGCGAGCTTCTTCCATTCCCAACCTACCTGTTCGGCAGTGCGCTCTTTCAATGCTATCTGGAGGGCCGCTGCATCTATGGCCTTTTTTCGGAACATACAACTTTCGCGCGCATGAGCTATTAGCTTTTCCATTCTTCTTGAGGCGAGCTCGTGTCGTGTCGGTGGCTGGTCATCGCTTGCCTTGCGTTTGGGAGGATGAGTTCGGCGGCCTGCGCTGGTGACGAAAGTTTCTGACACCGGGTATGGCCTATCCCCCATTACCCTCATAAACGTGTCCAAATGGGGAGAACTGCGGATAGAAGAGACGCTGACTGTGAAAAATGGCTTGGATATAGCAGAACTGAAGCAGCAACTGTAGTACGGCGTGCAAGTGAGTTGGGCACCTCTTCATTCCGCTGTAAGAAACTAACGGGACTCAAGCAAAAATAAACCTTCAAATAAGTGCCTTGAGCACTGGGTTACAGGATTCCACACCCCGTTCTTGTTCGTAAGGGCTACCTGTCGAGGTGGGTGTGTCCCGAAGCGTCTCGTAGCACCTCTTCTTCCATCCAGTTCCCTATTAAAGTTCCATGGCCAGTGACCACGGACTTATTATAAGTTTGACAGTAACTCATTTGTTCAGCGTTGCGTTATGCATCAGAAGCTGAATTCGTAAAGCCCCAGGAATTTCGAGTCGGCTAATTCGCATGTAATAAACACCTCACGTCAGCTATGCCGCTGATGATAAATGCTCTGCAATACTTTATAGCTACATGTGTGTTAAAATGGGTATCTGATATGATAGGTCTCCGCTCAGGGATATGCCCGTTCGTTGAGTCTCTGTGAGCCTGCAGGTGGCGCACGGAACACAAGTGCACCAATCAGGCTACGAGGGGGCTTCAGCCTCTATGTACTTCCATATAATGTGTGCCGATATTTCAGGTAAAGTATTACTTGCTCTTTGATGGGCTGGAAGCCTTGTTTGGAGGGCGGCTTTTGCCTACTTGAAGTAGCAGCCAGACGGGCACGTGCCCCTCGACAGTTGTTGGGGTCACTTTAAAAGCAATGGTTGGTACTTCTGACACTTTAGAGTCAAATAAAACTCGAAAAGCATTTGAATTAAATTTATGTAATATATGTACAATGATAGAGTATAAGTCCACACGTTGTCACTGGTTTTCGAGCCCCCAGCCGGCTGTGGGTACACGTACCTTCGCCGCCGCCCCACAATAAAATATGCCTATTCATCAGTAGTGGCTGTCCTTAATTCAATACTCAGCCCCGCCGCAAACAAACAAACATTTTACTTGATTCAAATAATATAGGTGAATTTTGTGCAACGATAACACGATGCATAGGCACAATTGTGTTGGCGACTAACTGGGGTCACTTTGGGCCAACCTGTGCGCCTCTTGCCGCATGAAACCATGTTCCATCATCTTGAGATGATATTTATTCTGTTTAAAGTGTAAATGCATGACTGCTGTATCTGCATCCTTGCATCTGAGATATCTCTTGATTTACGCAGGGGAGCCTCACTGTGCAGTCTCCCGTCACGCGCCTTCTAGGCGCATAACGCGCACTGCCCGCGATTTGTATGACCAAGGGCAAAGCCGCTTGTAGCCAAAAATAAATGTGATTAACAGCATGCCAAGATGAATACACTGGGCAGAAAATGCTAGAGCAAGGGGCAATGGAGTGCAACTAGGCGTAGCACACCAGCACATTGGATCCATCTTCCGCAGGGCACTTCCCAAGGCAGCCAACAATGTAGAGTTAAACCTGATAAATTACTACTTTAGCAGATTCGAAGCATAATTTTAGGCTTTCTACCCGCCCATTAATCTTCCGCCACTCCTTTGTCTCTTAGTGGTCCGCAATGCCCAACGAATATGGCAAGATCTTGCTACAACAGATTGAGCAACAGAGGAGGCAGAAGTTGAGGCAACGAGCTGAAGAACGTGGTCTTCCCGTGCCTCCTGATGAACATCCAGGGTCCTTATCTGCCAGAGGCGCTACGCGTGCAGCAGACTGTAGGGTACTTGCTCCCACATCTGCAGGAGGTGTCTCTCCGCATGAGTTTCAAGTAAACCCCGGCAATAGCTGCACTTCACACTTAGCCCGCACCCAACGCGTAGTGCACAAACGTGTGCACAGCACCGCTTATGTCATCAAGTGTATTATTTACAGAGCGAGTAGCTTCAAAAAAAGCCGTCCTAGTCCCATCCGCTTCCCGTAGATATGCGCCTATTCAGGCACAACGCCAGCTAGATGAACTGACTCATACTTTCGTAAACTGTGCATGATTTGATTTTACTGCTCAGGCAGTACCTCAAGGGGCTAGTCGTACTGATAAGTCCGCAGAAAGCAAGAATGATGACTCGCAGCAGAATGTTGCGCAACGCACCATTGATGTAGCACGGGCTCTAGAATCTCTTGCATCTTTAGCACCGCTGCTGGCTCGTCATGCGTCACCTCCTGCATCTCAGTCTGGGGCAATGACAGCTCCTTACATTCCTTCTGTGGTCCCTGCGCCGCTCATCAACCAACAGCCTCTCTTACTTCAACCAACTGCACTCGTGCATCCACAATTTTACCAACTAGGCTCACAGCCTTCACCTTACCCATACCAGCACCTTGCTGAAAAGCCTGATATGGAGCGAAAATTCACTTTGCCACTGCGAAGTCCTGGTTTGTCTCAACGAATTTCCTTCCTATGCCAGCGTTACAATGCAATATCTTTGTGGTAATGCGCAGCGTCCCTTCTGTTGCCCGCACATTCCCTGCGCATCAGGCAAACTCTTGCCTTTCGAAATCAACGAATGATGACAAACTATGTGCATCTCATGTTGCAGAAGAAGAACTGCTGAGAGCCACACACAACCCAGATCATCTGACAAACGCAGTAAGATTCTGAATCAGCAGAAAAGCCCGGCAACAGTCAGAGCAATTTTCCGCAGTGCGACGAAGCCAGATATGATTTGAATTTCAATGAGCGTTTTTCATTCGGAGGCTTGAGAGCTTGCAGCAGGCGATGCACAATGGCGCTGTACCGAAGATGCACCAAAGCTATTGCTACGTTCAAGCCTGTTGCAACATGAAGCAACTCGGCTCAGGCCCCATTACATTTTGCGCTTCTAATATTTCCCGTAGGATGGTTCCGGGGGCAAGGAAATCTCCGATGAAGCGGATTCATGGTCAGCAAGTGCCTTACGTGACTCTAGTGCGATCGATCCTGGTCAGCAGCGCTTGACGGAAGCTAAAAAGCGGTACCAAGAAGACCTGCTTCGTCAGATGCGGGAACGAGAAGCGGCACGCGAAGAAGAAAAGTCCAGGAGGAAACGTGAAGATGAAGAGGAAAGGATCCGTTTGAGTAAGGAGATAGAACAGGAGAGGGTGAGGCACCTTTTAGAGTCAAAGCAACACAAATTATCAATTTAGCGCACTGTTATAGTCACTACATACTGCAGGCAAAATTTAATTTCCACTTGATTCACTGGTATAGTCATTAGATGGCGTGGGAAAATTTGTTCTCAACTGAGCCGTGCGGATGCGTGCATTGGTGTAGCTTCAAAAGGCAGAAGAAGACGCAAGGCAGCTTGTAAAATCAAAGCAGCTGGCGGCAGCAAATGTTGCAGCGGCCGGCCGGACGAAACAGCGGGAGTACAATGAGTTGCGCGACGTTTCTTTAGATGCTGAGCTGTGCAGCCAAAATGGGCTGCCGAAATTTAAGCGGTCCACTTCCAACGAACAGAACACACTGCCAGAGAATGAACACGCGATAAAGAATCTCGAAAGAACCACACTCTTGCAAGAGCCAGCCAAAGAGCCAGAGAAGAGCGAGCACCTGAACGATAAGCGAATTCACCAGATGTCTGTAAATGGTGTTGATGTGGAGCGCCTCATAGTTTTAGGCCTTGAAGCCTTACAAACCGAGGTTCGAATGCAAACGGAAGAAATGCGATTTTTGAGGAATCAGCAGCGTCAGGTACTTCAACAAATACATAAAGGCAACGGAATCGGAAACGTTTGGTGTGAATGCGAGCGACAAAACTCCTCGGTACAGGCGGGGGATCGCTGCCCTCAGCTTTCAAGTTCACACCCACGCAATTTCCTTTTTAATAGTGCGATTCCTGCCCACCAGCGAGAGTTTCAAAATCGACGTGCTCTAATTACCTTGATGTTAAGGAATGCGGGTGTTTCTGATCCGGAAGATTTAGTGCGGCGCCTTGCTGACAGCGGCATCATATTCTTGAACAGCGACGCTGCATCCTCTGGAGCAGTGCCGATGAGCACTTTCCCCTGCCAATTTGCCCACGAAGTGGCTGATGCAGCAGCGCAAGCAGGAGACGACTCATCCCTCTGCAACGCAGAAAAAAGTTGGTCTCTTCACCGTAGCCCAGCGAAGCACTCTTTATCCCGTGGACCCAGCAAATCCAGCTGTTGTTCACTGAGGGAAATCACAACGGAAACCCTCCATCAGCTTACAAAAGACGAGAACTTGCGTGCCAAGCAAGAGAACGGTCCTGGAGAGGATCCAGAAGATCGACCCTTACCAACACTTCTGAAATGTCAACAGCAATGGGAAGCAAGCCAGCTCTTCTGTCATGCTGCAAAGCAGTCGCAGTGCTTGGGAGCCCAGCAGGATGCTGCAGAGACAAAATGGTCAGGAACCTTAACACAGAGGAGATTCGTCGACAATGAAGTGCAAGGTCAAGGGGAGGGAGAGGCACGGCAATACAGACGTGTCTTGACAAAACAACTTAGCAAGTCTCTTGAAATGCCAGCTGACCGGAAATGGAGACTAAACGAATTGTGCGCCTGCATATCTCACTGCTTCCCCCCAACGTCTAGCCATGGTCCGACCACTTGTGATCCCGGCACGGACTGCGCTGCAAGATACATATTCAACAGTTATTGCACCAGCCAGTGCGAGCCTGAGCTTCCATGCCAAACCATTATTCTCCCATATACATCAGAATGCATAAAACTACCATTTGGGCAAAAGCAGCCCAAAGCAGGCGTGCCCAGGCATTTGGAACCAGTGGCAAAGGATGGGTGGCCTCCTAGCAGCAAGATGGAAACCCTTGAAAGGTCGACTGCGCAGACAGAGATGCCTGAAGAGCATATTTGTCATACCAAGCTAACAAAGGTCGAAGGTGGGAGGGTGTGGGGGGGAAGTGGCGCTGCACAGGAACCAACTGGGTTGACGGGGCACAAGAGCTTTGACACTGGTATTGCAAGACCTGTGGCGGAGTTTAACCGAAACCAGGTTGATAGCGTTTTTGATCAGGTTTGTGCATCCGATACCCGTTTAACCTGCGCGGCTTCCAGTGTCAACGCTGCACCTATAAAATTTCAGGAGCCACTGGACTTGGAGTGCCAAGTTCTCCCGCAATTCAGTGCTAGTGAAGCACGTAATGCGCAAAGTTCCCGGCGTTCCAGAGTCGCAGCCAGCCATCCACAGGTCCAAGACGGCCCTGTACGCACTTATTCACTACCTCATGCTCAGGAGCGTCTCAAATCGAAACTTTCCTGGGAAGCTGATACAGCACTCCCAGTCGACGAAGGGTTTCCTGCTCATTCGCATGCGATTAAAGCCCAGTCGAGCGAATTCGGCCCTCATCCTTCAGTGCCGTTGCAAGAGCCTCCGCTTGCAGTGTCGGCCCAGCAAGGGGACCACCACAACACGCCGGAGTGTATTGAAAACTTTAGCCCAATCCCCGCAACGCCACCTAATAAACACGCTTTGCCCAGTAAAAATAACGGCGCACCCCCGGCAGCTGTCTCTAATGGGAGCAAATTGTGGATTAGCAGAGGATTTGGAGGCAGGCTCGCGAGGAGTAACTCAAGGCCGCGTCAGTAGGTTCTGCATCTTCCAAGCCTGGAATGCAAATGTGCATCCCGCATTGTCTCAAATGATTCAGGCATCCATAAATTTGCTGAATAACCACCAGCGAAGCTCTCACTTTTTTAATTAGTCGGCCCAACTCATTATTGGATGTTGAGCCATTGTATGAATGATGGGTCTCAATCGCTGGCTAGGCTCTACTGATTTGGAACGTTTTTAATTGCCTGCGCAATTTTCTGATACAAGGCCTCACACGCGTTTATTTCTAGGAAATCTTGCATGGCTATTCGCTGTTTTAAAGCAATGCCATCGCTAAGTAAAATATCACTTGGCAAACAAAAAAACGCTCACAGACAGTCACGCGAAATCCTTTTATCTGTTCGTCTGCAAACTAGATCACTAAAACTGCGAACAGAAGAAAGATGGTGCCAGTGTAATGGTCTGTGCAATTCGGACCTCAAAACCAACAATTCGTGATATCGTTTCAGGCATGCAACCAGCAGGAACAAGCAGCGTCCCATCAGCATGGTGCAAAATTGCCAATAGATGAAGTGTTCAAACCAGAAAGTCAGCACAGCAGCTCACGAAACACGTATTTTCATATGCTGAAGCTTAGAAGAATGTGAAAAATTAGTCGAGCGGCTGCTGGGTTGGCAGACCTCCCCACGACTGAGGATACCACTTTGGAAATACGCGCCGATAAAGGGGCAACAGAACCTAGAAAGAACAATGAGAAAACACACAGCAGCAAGCTCCTTAACCTGACCTAAATCTTAGCGATAAATTCCACCACCCATAAGTTGAGCGTCGACCACATGGACACTACTAACTTCAACGGCGAACTAAGCACCACAGTGCGTTTTACATGCCGTTGACCGGCACAAAACCCGATATTGCCTTCTCAGGTGTATGCACAGGCAAGGGCTTCCAGCACTATAGTGTGAAAATTTGTGTGTCGTCAATGCATAAGTTATCTGCGCCAATGACTCCGCTGCACCAATCGCTTTTGATAGATTGCAGACCCTACCTCGTCACTTTGCTTGAGATGGTCACTGAACTTGCACTTCATGTAACCGTGAGTGCCCAGAGGTTCAACAATATTCCCGCGTAACCCTCTCTTGGTGTGCAATTCTATTGGAGTAAACCACCTAAAAGAAACACAAACGCAGGTCGATCAGGCAAGCAAACGGTAAGCTGCAAACTGCCATCAATTCTGGTGATAGGCCAGTGGAGTGCCGGCGGCCTACGATTCAGTTTTAGAAAACAAATGGCGTCTGTATAGAACTCTCCTGAAACTGAAGCTGGCAGTTGCACGAAATTCCATCACATCTCAATGCATCATTCTCTTCCACTCACCGCACGTCATCGGGATTAAAAAACATGAAGCGCACAATTGCTTTGCGCCTGTGTACCTTGAATGGGTGACCGCTGAGAAGTACACGTTTTATAATCAAACGGCTACTTGCTCCATTCACCGGAAGTACTGAGCCCCAGGCTGTAATACGCAGATTGTCGGGTTCTGTCCAGAAACAAGGCATAAAGTACAGGAGGAAACGACTCGCCTCAATGTCTATAACTTGGCTTTCCCTCAACAAAATGGTATCCGCATATGCAGCGAATATTTCACCTGAGCTATCAGACCGAAGCATGATACAGGGCGAAGGTGGGAGAACCAGCGGCGAATACACCGTTGCAGTCAGAGTGGAACCTGGTTCTGCCCAGCGTTTGAACTTCCATTTCGCTGCACTACGTACGCCTTGCCTCGGCTCTTCCGAGTAAATCGGCGAAGCCGGAAACCTGCGTCCATTAAGTTCGAATCCCATGGAGTAAACGTGTTGATGACAGGTGTGTCTCTTCGGCTCTGTATAACTGAGTTGTTGGACATCTACACTGGCTGATACCCAGATATTTACCTCCGGAAACCGCAAGCCATCAACATTGGATCCTTGCTCTTTATTGGCTGGTCATCGCAGAATGTTAGCTGGGAGTGGACAACTGCGACTTGGGTCTCATGCTGCAGCAGTTGTGAGACTAGAAGGAAGTCGGGCACCATCAGATCGGCGTCTGCACTGGCGACGGCACCTGCTGTGCAGGTTTGATTGCTTGCCGAAAAGCGGTTCGCTATTCGTCCTGTCATTGCATCGACCAAAGCGTCGTACAGACTTCTGCCTTCAAGGGGAGGATGCTGTTGTACTAGCTGCAGTAGCATGTACGAATGACGCAGAGGCATCAGAAGACGGCAGAAGCGGCCAGAGAATCCGCCTGTCATTCCGCAGAGCTCCGCATGGGCGCGAGACGCAAATACCGCCAAGCCCTGATGAGCACACACATCTTTCCACTCGTCTAAAGAAAACGGAAAGCAAGTGACATGTCTCCACAAAATAGTTGCTTCTGATAAAGTACTACTTCAGAGTTTATAATGATGTCAAAAGAATGCATTTGCACTAAACAAAAGATCACCTTCAGGTTGGACACATCAATAATGCGACCATAACCTATCGGTAAATCTTCGTTCTTTGCCCATGGGGAAGAACGGAAGCTCTTGAGACCACGGTACTTTTGGAAACGCTCCTTCGCTGAAATGTCCAATGGTGTGTCAACCTGCAAACCACAAGTTACAGCACCTTCCAAAAGAGTTCTATCTGCTCATTTTCGATTATGGTAGGATTTTCCGTAAAAATGTCCAGCCAGAGACGTTGTAACCGAAATTAGAAAATAACGTGAAACGCGATTTAGCCTACTTGATCTGGGAACTCCCTTTCCATCTCTGCTGCTTCACGGCGTTGAGCTGCGTACGCCTTGCTGATCAGCACAATACAGTGAAAGTCAACGACCTGCATTTTCAAGGATCGACTTTGCCACTACTGTAATTTTCAGCTCATCTGGAAAAAACGATCTCATAAACCTTTCTAACTGTTCGTGCTAAACCGTCATTGCAAGCCAGGTGCTGACTTATCGGCTTCCATTTGTTGCTGTTCTGCACCGTTCAGGGTCTTCCAATCATCATCAACTTCGTCGACTACGCTCGTAGTTGGGTCAGTGTTTGCTGAGCAGCATGCTTCACAATACGTGAATGGCAGCATCCCGTACTTGTAATTCTAAAAATCCAGAAGTATCTCTCCTTGACACTGTATGGGCATCGCCGACTCACCAGCGATAGCCTCTTCCTCCTGCATTTCGAAGTCGCTATTCTCATTTTCTTCTTCTACGCTGTCGTTGTTTGTACCATCTGTGTCGGACTCCAGCCAAGCCCGCTCGTAATCCCCTACATTTTTGGGAACCCGAACGCGCCTGCGATTTGCTGACGTCATTCCACCTTCTGCTGTCACCTCTTCTCCTGTGGGCCAGGTTTGTTCCATAGCAGCAGTATCCAAAGGCTGCAAGGGTTGTAACAACTCCACCACTTCTGTGAAAAGGCAGAGGACGCGCATGTCAAGCCACACCAAAGCGCATTTCTTCCGGGAAAATATCTTGAGCTCCTATGTTATCTTGGCATCTGCCCACCAGACGCCCACTGCAACTACTCCAAAACTATACGGCATATATTCCACGCCGCTCAGATTCGACAGCTGCAAACTGCGTCCCAACCTTGCAAGTTTGCCACGTGAGCTTCCACTTCCGCTTTTGCTTCGCCATTGACTAATAAAGGTTCACGCCTCTTTGCCTCATACGCTGGCTCCATAGTCTCAATCCTGGAAAGCACGAAATCCCCCACTCCTGTGATGTGTACTGGCAGGCTGAGGACCACAAAAAAACTAAAATATCGCGAATAAATTCACACTGACAGGCGTTCGCGCCATTTAGTATCTTATACTGCGGAAAGAATTGATTGATCCACAAGCACTGTAGGGTGCGTTGCTTACTTGCAAGTCAATCCCGCTCCTCGGACAAGCCCACAAGCTTCAAGGCAAGGCTCGGGCTGAGCCGCAGGGTCTTCCGAAACGTGATGCCACGCAATATGCCAGCTCAAGGCCAGTAAGTGCCCTCGCCTTCTGCTAGCTGCTGCCTCGGCGCCCTTTGCAACAGTTTTCGTATTTGTATCGCCTTGTGTCAGCGACGCAGCTGCTCCCACTGCTCTCAAGACATTATGCCAGTCTGCATCGCTTCCGATACTGAAAAATTTTCTTAAGTTCACAACACAACACATCGGCTTAAAGACATGGTTCCGCGATTGCCGTCTACTCAGAGACACAAACGCGCCGCTGTTTGATCATTTGAGCAAAAATGGGACGCCGTTCTCGGCTGCCCAGCTGCTGCAATTATATAATGAAAAGATAGGACATACTCACTATAGTCTACAAGTAACGCTCATCGCTTATGGTATGCCTACCTTTCAGCTCCAAGTTCGGATTCGAAAAAACGGCGCATGAACTTAAGGCTTTCTGATGCTGAGCTTTTTCCCTTTGGCGCATCCGCTGGTTCCAGCACTGAAGGGTCGACGCATCCAACACCAATAACTGACGGAGGAAGACCTTGGAGTTTGAGGGCCTGCAGTATTTTGTATCCCCGCCTACTAAAGGCACTTCTTTCGTACGTGCAGCTGCCTCCGAAAAGGCACACTAGAACATCGCAGCAATTACAGAGATCCATATACCGTAGTAATTCACTTGGCCTCTCCGGTGGTTCTCCCTCCTCCAGCATTGTTTCTTTCCCTGCTGTTTCACTTATGCGTGGAGCGGGAATAAGCAGCACATGCTGTTGGTACCTTTTAGGTATAAGTGGATTTCTTGCGTAAGCTGGCAAGGAGAATGTATACCGGCAATAGTGTGGATTATGCTGGGGGGATACAACGTCTTTTGAAGTGTTATCGTCACCGTCCATGTCCATCCCAGCTATCCCCTCGCAGAAGACTTTCCCATGGTCCTGAACTAAGTCCTGCGACAGTTTATGAAAGACCTTGTCAATGCAAACAGAGTCTGAGAAGGGAAGTAGCACCACAACCTTGGGTGGCGGGCCATCAGCGCTTGGCACCTGCCGCTGATGAAGATCACGGGCCCGCTGGACGCGACGTTGCT